TTTTACTTTCACTTTGAAATTTTGCAGGGTTTCATTCTTTTGAACTGTAAATGTTATTTTAATTCTAAATGGCCATAAAGCACATGCTGATTTTAATCACTTTTCTCATTTTGCTATTGATATATTTTTTTTGTTCTCCAGTGAGAAATGTTTGCAAGAATGTCAAATGTGGTTTTGGTCAATGCATCACCAACTTCAAGAAACCACCATTTTACGAGTGCAAGTGCAATCCTCCATACCAGGGCCCAGACTGCAGGACATGTGAGTGTGTCGAACAACATGTTGGACAAAATTTCTAATTGTTTTCTGACAAATACTTTCTTGAGCAGGACACTGGTGCATTTTTTTAACTCAGGAAACTGCAGGAAACATTTCCATACAGATTTTATGTCAGAACAGTTGTGGAGTCAGTGAACAAACTTCTGATGAAAACAAAAAAATAACCAGCATCCAGTATCCCAATACTAATGAAGTTTCTTGTCTGCATCAGTGCCAACATCTGTCTGTGATCCCAACCCATGCAAGAACGGAGGCTCCTGCATAAAAACGAAGCGCCGTTTCCGCTGTGCTTGTCCAGATGGCTACATGGGGAAGTTCTGTACAATTGGTAAAGACTTCATATCATACAGCCACAATCGCATTCACTGTCAGAATGTCATGTTATTGGCCTGAAAACATACATAATGATCTGCTGTTAGAGGCCCAAAAACCACCTTGTAAAAAAACTGTCTATTTTTTCTGTAAGTTTCGGTTTTCTGTGCATTTCTGTTTCTGGATGTTCAAATATTCCACATCTATGCATTTATTCTGAAATCCTGAGCTCACTTTTAATGACGTATATAACTTTCATCATTATCTGGTCTTTTTGTGCAGCTTCTGATGACTGTTATGTGGGAAATGGAGAGTCATACAGGGGTGATGTCAGTTTGACAGAAGACAGGGAGGAGTGTCTGGACTGGAATTCTAATTTCATTGTAATAAATGGGGAGGATCCTTTCGTCACGTACTCAGACTTCGCTGGCCTGGATTCAAACACACAAAACCACTGCAGGTGGTAAAATTGTATTTACATTTGTTCATACTATCTGACATAACTTATGCACTGTTCAAATCTGTTCTAAACTACTGTGGATAGCGTTTTTATGCATTTACAATATCTGTCAAACTCAAATTATTCAGTTGGGAAAAGATTTTGTTTGTAGAGAAATGGACAATCGTGATCAAAGTTGTTGGAAATATGTCTTGCTTTCATATCATTTGTCCTCTGGTGGCACCCCAAAGTCCATCCATCCACTATCTATACACCGCTTAATCCTCACTATGGTCGTGGGAGGAAGCCGGAGAACCCGGGTTCTCTGGCTTCCTCCCACAAGGTCCAAAAACATGTTGAGGTTAATTGGTGATTCTAAATTGTCCGTAGGTGTGAAAGTGAGTGTGCTTGGTTGTCTGTCTCTAAGTGTAGCCCTGTGATAGACTGGTGACCTGTCCAGGGTGTCCCCTGCCTTCACCCTGAGTCAGCTGGGATAGACTCCAGCCCCCCATGACACTAGTGAGGATTAAGGTGTATAGATGATGGATGGATGGATGAAATTGGGAATGTGTGAACAGACACAGTGATGTAAATAATAAACCGTTGCTTTAGACTTCAATAGACTTTAACACCTTTTGTTCACAGAAAGATCATTTATTTACTTTCTTCTTTTTATTTTACCATTTACTCTCCACTTTAGAAACCCAGATGGTGACGACAAACCTTGGTGCTTTATTAAAAAGCAAGGACAACTGGACTGGAACTACTGCAAAGTCAAGAAATGCTCTGAAGGTGGTTGTTAAACACACACACACACACACACATGCATATTCTGTATGTGGATGTTCATAATTCACAGCTTTTTTTCCTGATGATCCTCAGACCCAGCCCCACCAGTTACACAAGTTATACCAGTTGTACCAGTTGTACCAGATTCTTCCCAGTTCTCCCAGTGCGGAAAATCACAGCCTTCTCGCACAAGCAGGATATTTGGGGGAATCAAGTCTTCCCCAGGTGCCTACCCCTGGCAGGTGTCGGTTCAGGCAAGACCTCGAGGATCTTCTTTTGGGTTTAGCCACTTGTGTGGTGGTATTCTCCTCAAATCCTGCTGGGTTCTCACTGCTGCCCACTGCATGTAGGTTTTTTCTTCGTATGACTTTTCTCCATTAGTTATTTTTTTCTGCTGTAAGCAAGTGTTTTTATTTGTATTTTTTGTTACAGAGAAGGAAATTATGACTGGCAAGTGGTGATGGGAGGAGTGAACATAGACAAGAAGGAGGAAATGGACCAGACCATCCCAGTGATAGAAACGATTGTTCATGAGCGCTACAGGGAAGGACAGGCGTTATACAACGACGTTGGTTTGTCACGTTTATCAGTACTGGCATTTAAACTTAGACCATAGATTAGTATTAACTCATGTAATACAACACATGCACGTACGCAATGCAACGAATACAGTTCAACTTATTTCAATCCAAACTTTTTAGTCATTAAATCTCTAATTTTTTTCACTCGCAAAGCCACAACATGATTATGTTTCTTATTATCACTCATGGCGTTTTATTAGTTTATAAATTAAATCATTTATCTCCCATACTATCTCTAATTTCCTGTCTAGCTCTGCTTAAACTCCAAGCTACGGACAGTCCTTACTGTGCCAAAGAAACTCGCTTTGTGAAGACGGCGTGTCTACCAAGCCAGCCCTTCCCAGCTGGAAAGGAGTGTGTGATCTCCGGATGGGGAAAAACTGAAAACCGTAAGACTCAGTTCATCATTGAAAAGACCTTTCATGTTGAAGAAAACGTTGCTTTGAGATGCCTTCACACATTTCTTTATGCAGTTTTTGGAGAAAACCCCTAATTTTATATTGATTTAGTGCTTAATTGTCTTTTAGCATTTTAACAATCCTCAGCCAGTGTAATTCTCACTCACATTTGCTTTGACTTCCACTTTTCAGGGACGTACAGCAGCCACCTGTTGAACGCTCGTGTTTTGCTGATCTCTAATGAGCGATGCCAAAGTCCTCAGGTGTATGGAAGCCTGCTGGACAACAGCATGTTGTGTGCAGGGATCCTACAGGGGGGCATAGACTCCTGCCAGGTCTGTATGTTTTTTAAATGTCATGCAAGAATCCATTCATGTTACATTTAAACCAACAAGTTTTATTGGAGGAAAAGAAAGTTGATTCAGACATGACGTGTTGTAGATCCTTCTGTGGCAACAAGAGGCATGAATGTGTTCCTTAGTGACCCTATACAGATGATGGTATGATTCTAACGCGCTCTGTCTGACTCTGCAGGGTGATTCAGGGGGTCCGCTGGTGTGTGAAAATGACGGCACGTATTACGTGACCGGTGTGGTGAGCTGGGGTCACGGCTGCGCTCAGAGGAACAAGCCTGGTGTCTACGCCAACGTCCACACATTCCTCAACTGGATCAACAGCAAGATCAACTAACTGAAGTGAAGGAGTTGACTGAACTACACTTTATTTGTTGTCACTCTGCATATGCGAATCGTTCTTATTGTGTGAAGAGAAAGAAATGACTGCTTATTTTGCCCTTTGAAAAAACAGTTTATTTCATCAGCGACAAAACCAAGCATTTACTCCCAGTCCAGCTTTGAGTTAACAGAGGAACTGTGACACACTCACAAAGCTGAACCTGCCAGACAACAGTCATTTCAGTAGGTCTATACCTGTCTCTCACTGAGCCTAGCTCAAAGTGCACTAGATTATCAGACCTGTCTTGCATGACTGCAACAAGGCTGCTTGTTCATTTGGACTCGCAGCATGTCATATTTACTAAAGATAAAAAACAAACAATGTAAAAATCCTTTGCACTTTGCATCGCTGGCCACATAAATCCCTGGTCCAGCTCCGTACTTTCTGAACGCACTCGATATACAAAAGCAGATTGTTTCATGTCAGCATTTCGTTCAGTTTTACTTTAATCCTGCGACAGCCTTAATTCAGTTTTGCTAATCTCAATGCTTTTGCTTTAACTGGTGTTGATAATGGTCCTTCAGGGGCATTTTAACCCACTCAGAAGTTGAAATAAAATGTCAAGAAATACCTTGCATCTTGCAATTTTTCCCTTTTGTTTAGCACATACATAGACATACACATACACAGATACAGCCACAGGTTTAACGACACAACCACAAAGTTGATCATCAACCTTTAGCCTAAGCTGCTCTGGTACCAAGTACTCTTAGGAGCCATCTTATGCTCGAACATGGTATTTGTTATGACATGTAGACGGGAGAAGACGGAGTCTGACGTCACAGTATGCGACAAAAGCATCATGTTTACAGTTTGGCTACTGTGATAGAAAGTCAATATTTTCAAGTATTTTGCTTGTTTTGTACTCTAACACCACATTTAGGAGAAGCTCCACTTCTCTGTTGAAGTAACAGGAAGTAATTCGTGACATTCGTTGTCGTGTTTTTTCCAGGATTCTGATTGGCTAGCACGGCTTTATGCTTCTCGTTACACTGCCCCCTATAGGTTTGGCATGCTCATAGCAGCTCTTAACCACATGTTTATGCGGGTTTGTGTAAATGAAGATTTTTTTGAAAACGATCTGGTGTGAACAACGTTAATTTTGAAAATGTAGATCCGTTTTCGTAGATATCCGACTATGTGTAAACGTGGCCTTCAACTACATCCACAGGTGTGCCCCCAATTAACTCAAATGTTGTTAATTAACTTATCATAAGCTTCCAAAGACATGACATCATCATCTGGGCTTTCCCAAATAGTGCGAAGACATAGTAACCTTAGTGTATGTAAACTCCTGACTTTGACCAAAATAGTAAAAAATTCTCTAAAAAAGAATTCTCTCTCTCATTATGCTCGTGTTTAGCAAATAGAAATATTTTCGGTAATCCAACTGATCTAAATCAAAAGTTTAGTCTGATTTAATGTCAGACAGTGAGTAAAAAAAGGTTTTATGTCTTTTTATACAATGGATGTAAACTTCTGGTTTCAACTGAATCTCTTTCGCCTTTCTCCCATGTACAAGGATTTCTATCTATCGAATAAAGGGTTAATCTTTTAAATACATGAATGAATAATCCACGTCATTAATAACAAGTACTCAGTATTTCTTCCAGTGTTTTTTTGTCAGTTATATAAAATGCAAAATAACTGCATGGTACTGGTGATTTCATTTCAATTTACTGAATGAATGTGTTTAAGATTAAAATGTAAAAGTATTCCATACAAGTAAACAAGACAGGGTTAAATAAATGGAACTGTGGTGTTGAACAAGTACGCAGTGACCTAAAACACACACAACTCTCATTGGAATCAATGCAGCTGGCTAAAGATTGACAAGTGAATAAGTAGGGTGTCGAGGAGTTTGATGTATTAAATCAAACTGTGAAACTTCATTCTTCCTCACCGTGCTGACAGTTTGACACAGCACCATGCTGGCTGCAGGGGCCCTGCTCATTTTCATCAGCGTGCATGAATTCAACCCAGTTGTAAGTTTCTTGATATTTTTATTAACTATGCAATCAGGGGGGTCTTCGTCTGTTTGAACTAACTCTTGGCTAAACATGTTGCTGATATGTTCTCTGCTGTGGTTTTGTCCTTTCAGCTGGGATTGGAGGACTATTGTAAGACTCTTTCCTCAGATGATCTTTCATGACAGGGACGCACTTAATATTAATTACAATTACTCATTTCTATTTCATAGAAACTTAGCATCCAGTTTTATGTGCAAGTTTGTCATGTTGCATGATTTGTATGTTTTAAATTTTTTGGAAAACACAGCATCACGGTGGAGGACGGCGGAACCCAGGTCTGGGATCGGGATACCCAGGTGCGGACAAAGAACAGGCAGACGGGCAGGTGAAGTGTTTAAAAGGATTTATTAAACAAGGAATAAAACTGAACTCAAACTGCGGTGTGGAAACTAAACTGAAGGGGGGGAAACCAAGCTGAGGTACAAAGGGGGCAAAACTAGAAAAATGTAAGAAAACTCTAAAGCAAGAACAGTGGCGAACAGTTATCCTCATATAAAATCTAAACCAAGAAAACAGGGATACTCACAAAACAAGTTACAGAAGCTGCAAGGGGGCAGACGGGCTTGAGGAGTCTGGGATCTGGTGAGGGCTGGGGAAAAACTGGAACAAAGCCCGGGGCAAGTAAAGGCTGGCCGGGGGAATGCAGGTAGGAAACAGGCTGGCTGACAGCTGTCTCCAATACCTTGAGTCAGGCTGGCTGAGCAGGGCTCAGGAGAAGTGAGAGGAAGAGAGGAGGGAGAAAAAGAGGGAGACAGGCAAGGGCCTGGGCTGAGGCTGGGAGGTCATGACACACAGTGTAATTTTAAGGTGAAATATGATGATAGATGATTATCATCTACAGTCGTGACTCGATAATCCGACACTAAATGTAAAACCTTCTTTTATGTCGGATATCAAGGCTGTTGGATTGTCAAGACGGAGGTCGGGATACAAGGAGGGCTTGATGCTGGAAGGCTCATTTGTTGTTAAAGTTTATTCTTTATACATAGTTGTTGTAATAACTAGTGTTTTGTTAGAACACTACGCATTGCTGGATTTCATGCGTAATTGACTGGTGCGATTGTGCACGTTCTGGCCAATTCCACCCTGGGGAACCGCTCAGGCGGGGTGGAAGTGGCCGGAACACACAGACAGTATTTGGCTGCTGATGCCGGTTTAGTTAGCGGTCACAGTTCTGTTTCCACCATCGGCGGCAGCAACAGCGGCAGCAGCAGGGGAGTGGTGGGCAAGATACGCTCCATCGCTATCGTTGGTGTTTACTTCTGCAAACACTGAGCGCGCTCGCTGCATATGATGTCGTTGTGTCCTCTTCTGCGCATGCGGGACACTTTTGGGTCGTATGAAGTTCACGCAGCAGATCACATACAATTGGCATTTTGTTTGAACTTTGAACAAATTTGCTTTCACTCGGATTTTGCATTGAGCTTTGAGTTGTGCATTGTGTCCTTCGGTCTTCTTTTTGGTTTTTTCGTTCGGTTATTCCGCGTTTTCCTTGTTTGTTGCCTTAAATTTTCTTTTTGAGTTGGGATCCAAGGCTTTTGGTATGTTAAGACTATTTTTAATGGGTTCCGCTCGTTTTTCCTAAAAACCTGTCGGATAGTAAGGTTTTCGGATTGTTAAGGGTCGGATTATTGAGTCACGACTGTATATGTAAAATGTGGTTTTAGCACATTATTTCTTTCACATGTATCATCTGTTTTAAATGCAGGATGCAATTATACATTCCAGTAACTCAATTAAACTGTTTCTAAAAGTCATATTGCTTTGCTTTGTGCGACTTTACAGTAAAAGTAGAACTTCTTGTTTTTTCTTCATTGGATGTCTCAGCAAGGATTGCTTTAAAACTCAACCTTGAACTCTACATGTCAGTACAGAGAACTTTTTATTGAACAAAACTCTTGTTTTTAAACTGCTCTCTGTTCTTGGCAGACATAGACTATGACATTGACTACGCCACTGAATCCCCTATTTTTATCGAATACGATGACTCGTTGTTCACCGCCATGGAAGAATCCAGTAAGTGGCCCTGGTAGACTGCACATCATCACTGTTTCTGTATCAACTTTAGCCTTCAGACTCTTTTGATTCAGATTTTGTCCCTCCAAAATGACTCTTGTCATTTCCAGCTGCTTGTGAATCGAATCCTTGCTTCAATGGTGGCTCCTGCCAAAGTGAATCAGCTACAGAATTCACATGCTCATGTCCTGAGCCCTACACAGGGACAAGGTGCCAGAAAGGTAGGTGGGAATTTAGCTGTATCTTACTTTCACTTTGAAATTTTGCAGGGTTTCATTCTTTTGTTGAATTGTAAATGTTATTTTAATTCTAAATGGCCATAAAGCACATGCTGATTTTAATCACTTTTCTCATTTTGCTGTTGATATTTTGTTTTTGTTCTCCAGTGAAAAATGTTTGCAAGAATGTCAAATGTGGTTTTGGTGACTGCATCATCAACCTCATTGAACAGCCATTTTACGAGTGCAAGTGCAATCCTCCATTCGAGGGCCCAGACTGCAGGACATGTGAGTGTGTTGACAAAATTTCCAATTGCTTTCTGACAAATACTTTCTTGAGCAGGACACTGGTGCTTTTTTTTTTTTTTTTACTCATGCAGGAAACATTTCCATACAGATTTGTATCTGAACAGGTCTGAAGTCAGTCAACAAACTCCTGATGAAAACAGGAGAACTCACTCTGTTTTCTGAAGGCTACTGCGGCTTCAAATTGTTTCAGCTGCTTCTGTTGGTGTTTGCCACTGCTACTGCTGTAGTGAATGTGGCTACCTGCGGATCGCGGATTTCGAACTTTCTTGCTAAAGTCGTGAGCTTTGTGTCTTGATATGAGCACCAAGCCTAAGTCAAGGAAGACGTCTTCAGTTCGCCCTGTTCTCAGGGGTGCGGCTTCTCCCTGCACGACAAAGACCTGCACGAAGCGTGTCCTGTCTCTTTGGGTACTGTCCACACCAGGAGAGCGTTGGTGGACCCCGAGGCATGCAAGTTCTGTTGCCAGCTTCGGCATTCAACCCTCGAGAGACGGGTCACGTTTCTGGAAAAGGTGCTGGGCACCACGGCCACACGGCACGACCCTCTCCTCTCCTCTCCCAGTTGAGAGATCCGGCTTCGTTCAAGTCTGACGACAAGAGGCTCCTGGTCGAAGTCCCCACTGCCAGCTGGGCAGACCACATGGAGTATGTCGGCGGGTTAACTGAGCTCGAGCCAGAGCCCTCCGAGCGGGCTAGTCAGCCATTCGGTCTGGCAGCCCACCATGATGACAATGACGTGCTGGACATTGGCTTGGACATTCATGGTGATCGGAGGATGAGGGCTTGTCGTCAGGTCAGATTGCCGCCACTGCTGCGCTGGCTAGCCATGACGATAATTCCTTTTTCTCCCTAATTCACAGAGCAGCAGAGAAACTGGAGGTGGAGTGACCGTCCCCTCTACCGACTCAAAAGCTATCTCGGATCGCAGGATTCTTTCTTCCTCCCGAGCCGGCAACATTGAAAACAGCCTGCCCATGTACCCAGACTTTGTCTAGGAACTGACCTCGACATAGAGCGAACCAATGTCCACCCGTGTCACCATGCAGGGGTATGGACAGTATTTGGACTTGGACGGCGCTGAAAAGTCTGGCCTGACTAATCCACCGCCTATGGAGCTGACCTTGGCTGATTACCTGGCTCCGTCCCACAACCACAGTGTGGGCCATCCCACACCTCTCCCGTCCAAGCACTGCAAGTTCTTTGCTTCACAGCTGAAGAAAATTTACCAAACTCAGGCGGGCACAGCCCGTGCACTGAGCTCCGTTACCATGCTGCAAACACACCAGGCCTTGTGTTTGCTGGGGTCTAC